TGGATAGAGGGGTGTGTATGGGGATGGGTGGACAGAGGGGTGTGTATGGGGATGGATGGATGGGTGGATAGAAGGGTGTGTATGGGGATGGATGGGGGGATGGGTGGACAGAGGGGTGTGTATGGGGATGGATGGATGGGTGGATAGAAGGGTGTGTATGGGGATGGATGGGGGGATGGGTGGACAGAGGGGTGTGTATGGGGATGGATGGATGGGTGGATAGAAGGGTGTGTATGGGGATGGATGGATGGATGGATGGACAGAGGGGTGTGTATGGGGATGGATGGATGGGTGGATGGGTGGATAGAGGGGTGTGTATGGGGATGGGTGGATAGAGGGGTGTGTATGGGGATGGATGGGTGGATAGAAGGGTGTGTATGGGGATGGGTGGAGGGGTGTGGGGGGGATGGATGGAGGGGTGTGGGGGGTGCGGCGCCTCCTGCTGGTCATCTTGGGAATTATCTCTTGTCCAGTCCAGAGCGCCCTCTGTCCCTCCTGGACAGCAGTGCCCCTTTACCTCGGGGCTCTGCCCCCAGCCAGGGCCGGCTCCAGGGGCGGCAGGTCCAGCTATTCGGCGGCAATTCGGCGGACGGTCCCTCACTCCCGCTAGGAGCGAAGGACCTTCTGCCGAATTGCCGCTGCAGATCGCGATTCCACATCCCCATTCACAAATTTTCCGGCTGAGAACAAACGGCTGGTAACGGACACACAGTAGTCTTCACAGGAAGTATGATTTGGGGGTTTGACAACGACATGCCCTAACGTCAGGGAGAGCATGATAAATTGCATTTTCTTTGCAGTTGGAAGGTTTTCCTTTAACAAATTTTTTTGCCTAGGAATTTCCTTTTTTTTTTTAAATGAGATCGGATCCAAAGTCTACAACGGGTTTTCTTCTCTCTCGTCCAGACGATGACAGCGGGGCTCGTCTCGAGACCGGTAGTGCCTATCTAGCCACATCCTGCGATGCAGCGGAGTTAGGAAGCAAATAAACAAGCTGCTATTGTGAGATTGGAAATTTACCAGCTCTGGTGTTAAACCGATTTTGTTGGGAAACATCTGATATGGGAAATTGCTCCACATTTGTTCATTAAAGAAGCGTCTTTCAAAATCCTCTGTGAGATAGCTACTGCTTAGAAACCTGCATCCCGGGGCTCACCCCTCCGAAGATGCAATGAATCTTCAAACAGAAGCATCTTAATTCATGTGGTTTGGTTACGATGGAGGAGCATGGGCTGGCCGTGTGTAAGAGAGCGGAGATTTACCCCTGCCTTCGCTGGCTGGCCTGCAGCAAGGCACAGCTGCAAAACTGGCCACTGTATTTTGATTTCCAGTTGCCAAATTTATGAGTAATATAGTATTCTACTGCTACTAGCTCCTGCTGAGATGAGGGCCCCATTGTGCTAGGTACTGCAGACACAGCGTGAGCGACAGTCCCTGCGAGGAACGGCTTACCAAAACGACAGATGAAATTCAGTGTTGATAAGTGCAAAGTAACGCACCTTGGAAAAAAAATAAACCCAACTACACATACAAACCAATGGGGTCTAAATGAGCTGTTACCACTCAAGAAAGAGATCTTGGCATCATCGTGGATCGTTCTCTGAAAACATCCACTCAATGTGCAGCGGCAGTCGAAAAAGCGAACAGAAAGTTGGGAATCATTAAGAAAGGGATAGAGAATAAGACAGAAAATATCATGTTGCCTCTATATAAATCCATGGTACATCCACATCTTGAATATTTTTCAGAGTAGCAGCCGTGTTAGTCTGTATCCGCAAAAAGAACAGGAGTACTTGTGGCACCTTAGAGACTAACACATTTATCAGAGCATAAGCTTCCGTGGACTACAGCCCACTTCTTCAGATGCATATAGAGTGGAATAAATATTGAGGAGATATATATACACGCATACAGAGAGCATGAACAGGTGGGAGTTGTCTTACCAACTCATCTTGAATACTGTGTTCAGAGGTGGTCTCCCCATCTCAGAAAAGATATACTGGAATTGGAAAAGATGCAGAGAAGGGCAACAAAAATGATGAGGGGCATGGGACAGCTTCTGTATGAGGAGAGATTAATAAGACTGGGACTTTTCAGCTTGGGAAAGAGACGACTAAGAGGAGATGGGATTGTCATGGAGTGTGGGGGGACACAAGGCCCTGCACCCCCGGCTTCCTGTGATTCACCATGACTCTCAGCCAGGCGGTAAAGCAGAAGGTTTATTTAGACGACAGGAACACAGTCCGTGACGAACTGGGATTGTTCTTACTGTGGTCTGTGAATGCTGAGTGGGGAGTGTTGGCTGGGAAGGTCGCAGGGGAGTGTGGCTAGGATAGTCTGCATTGGGGGTGGGAGACTGACCGAGGGAGAATACCTGAGCATGTAACATGAGAACCCAGGAAGGGGTTAGAGGCCAGGTGACACCTCTGCCAGGGAAACTGAACAAAGGCTGTGGGAGGGGTCGCTGAGGGAGAGTTGCAGAGCTGGCTGGTGGAAGGGCTGGGAGGCAGATGGGGCTCTGA